ATTGCAATAAAACGGCAATTTCATACTTTAACCCCTAATAATAACTTGTAAAAATTACTGCAGTAAAGTGTAAAAACAGGGTTTTGTATCATATTTTCACTAAACAAATATATTGTGTTATCATAGTTCTCATATAAAAATGTTATTTTGTACAGTTTTATAGTATTTAATTTATATATAAATGAATCGTAAATATAAATTACAAAAGCACACAAAATAATCAAATAGCTAACTGTCCTTTTTCTACAAATTGCAGACGCAAAAGATGGAAAGAGACCCATTGTGTCCATTTCAAGAAGCTTATATATAAACTTCTTGGTCATTTTCAATTGTTCGAACCACAAGCAATTGAAATATTTAGAACAAAGAAACTATAGAGTCGCTTTGATTTTAATCTTATTTTTAAAATGATTTTTAATAAACGTTAGTAATAACTAACAAAATATTGTTGTACTCGTTTTACGGCTTGGGAAAACCTATTAGAAGCCAGAAAATACATTTGCGTTAAATAACGTTAGCTCGACTTTTCATAATGTCAAATGTATTTAGAAAAATTACAAAATAAAAATTAATTTTGTCTTTGTGAAAAGCATTAAAAATACACGAAAGCATAACAGTTTTATTATAAATCGGTTTTCGGAATTACGGATATTTGAGTTTACGTTTAATTGGAATCGGTACATTTCTATATTATAGTACACGCTTATTTTCACATTTGTAGTAATATTTGTATGTATGTATCTGCCCAACTCTTTATTATTTCTTTAAGTGAATTTGTACAAAATTCGACATAATAATATATATAAAAATTAATTAATATTTACGATACCATTACTCTTGTGTTCAAGTAATTTTCAGTCGAAGCTAAATATGGTGCACTTTGTTAAATTTCCAGTAGAAGCTGAATATGATGTTTTTGGGCCTTTAAATTGTTGCAAGCAAAACTAGGCAGTACTGCAATGACGTTACAATTTAAATTAAATTGTTTTAGTTTTTTATATTTCGTTACATGTCACTGCGTTTGTATAGGACATTTTTTTCGTAGTTTTTGTATTAGACCCGACGTCCATTTATTGGAAGGTCAATGATTTTAGGCATACTTAATTTTTCTGTGATTGAGTTGAATATTACTTAATATGTTTCATGTTACAGTGCCGATGTCAATTTATGTACGTCAAATAAAAATTTTAATCGTAACACGTTTCACAAAAAAAGTCGTTCGTCTAAAGACGAGAAGTGATCGATGTAGAAAAATACATAATAAAGGAGGTTACCTCGTAAGTGAGCCGCTCGCGCTTATTGAAGAGTAGCAGTACACACATCTGGAAGGTGGACACCTGGATGATGTGTCTGCGCGGCGCGGCGGGCGCAGGCGGGCTGCGCGGGGGGGAGGCGCCACCACTTGACGCGCGGAACGTCGCGTGCAGGTCGGCGCTGCCCAGCTGCGGCTGCAGCGACAGCTGCCGCCCGGAGTGTTTCGCCAGGTAGAAGCTGCAGCGAAATATTACATAATGAGTCAGCGCTAGTGCACCAACTACCTGATCTCAAATTAAATAGCTATACAAATGAATAAACATGAAAAACTTTGTTGTTTGTTGCTCAAATATATGTGGGATAATCAAAGAAAAGGGAAGGTGAAAAATTATTTATTTTTGTTACTTCAACATTATTCGGTCGTACGTCGTCCATAAAAACAAAAACCCCTCGTCTTCTCTTTAATTTCGAATCATCCCTCTCTCTTGCACACGCCTTCCCTTTCACTGCCGCCATTAGATACGTTCACCCATCACCTAAATTATAATAATAAATGCGACAGTAAAATTTACCTCCTGAAAACTTCAAACGCGTTCCGCGGTGCAGTTGGGATATTGCATTTGGGCGTAGCGCTTTGAGTTGGCCAGAATCCCGTTGTGAGCACGCGAACCGAAAGATCTACACCATGAAGATTGGTCTGAAAATGAACATATTAGGTAAAAAATTAAGCTTTATTGACGTTATAACTAAAGGTTACTTTTACAATGGTGACGCTGTTGACCTTGGACTTTCTTTAAAAATACTTCATCCGTCACTGCGAGGGATTTGCCTTTTTCTGTGACTCATCATTAATATGTGGTACATTAATAAACCGCAAAAAAAGGGTTAAGGCAATAAGGTGCACAAAATCGCTTAAGCATGGTGTTTTTGTGTAAGTTTTTAGGCGATAACATAGCATGTGGAACTTTGAAAATAGTACATCCTGTAACACGTATCTTGAAGTGTAGCTTTAGAATACAATAGAATACTTTTTTGTGTAGTTTTTATAATACAAAGAAACCAAAATATAAGTAATCTCAATGACTCTGTTTGACAACATTTCGCACCCATGGTGTAATAAGGTCACAGATGTCACTCCTGGAAATTGGCATTTTGCATCTCCAAAAGCAGGAGCTTTTGAAGATGCAAAATGGAGCTTCCAGGAGCAGTATAAAGATGCTACAAATGAAATTACTCCATGACTTTTCTATATTTATATAGGCGAGTTATAAAATTCCCATATACATATTTCATTTCATGTAGTTCGTGTCATTTTTATGACTACCATGTGATAAAAGCCCTTTTGACGTATGATCACACATGGCTTTGTTATCTATTTTGCCTATATATCTATTTTGCCTTTTTCTAACTATTATAGTAATTGCAAAGAAAACGCACTCACTAAAGAATCAATGCATAAACATACAATATGCATAAAATATATTAATCAAATTCACCCCGGATGACAGCACATGCTCCTTAAACTCCTCCATAATGGTGTTGGAGACAGTCATGTCCTTGAACATGCCTTCCAGCTTCGATGTGAACTGACAACCGCACTCAGTCTGAAAGTTAAATACGGATAAGAAAATTAATATGAAATTAATTAACCTTAACAGGTGCTCTACACTAATAGCCCATAAATAGTACGAAGGACTAGTTCATTTTAAGTTATTTATGTCAGATATATGATATGGTATTCTTTTTGGATATTTGGACAGGGTATTTATGACAAATTATGTATTATGCATAACTGAATTAACCTTCCACGTTTGTCATTTCTTTTTGGCAAGCCAAACTCTCCATGAATATCCTCTACTTTACCTTCATCTACAACAGCATTAAAGTCTCCCATTACTTCCAAATTTTTTGCTCTCTGCCTCTGTTATAAAATCTATTTATCCAAAGACATTTTTAACCGACTTTAAAAAAGGAGGTTTGCAATTCGACTGCATTTTTTTTGTATGTATGTTACGGGATAACTCCATTTGTGAATCAATCCAATTTTGATGATTTTTTGTTGGAAAGAGATATATTCGAGAGATACGTCAGTATTGGTCCCATTTAAATTTGACGAAAATATTGCATCTCTAAGGGTGGCAAACTAGGGGATGTCGTGTGAATCCTGTATCGCGTACTAGCCCGTTACCGATTTTAATAAAATTTGGCAAATAGATGTATTTCCACGAAGTTTTGAGATCGGTTTTTTAGTACTCTGTACTGAGATTATCAATTCTTCCCCTTTGTGCCGTCCTTTATGTAATATATATATAAATATATCGTGTATGATTACTATACTACCTGATGAAAGGTATTCTCTGCTAAATTACCTCATCTTTCCATAACTTCTTTTAGTACTTGTCTATAGAGATGGGCAAGTGCCCGGGTTTTAATCAGGCACTTCGTTGCCGGGTTTAAATCGCGTCAAAACCCATTAACGCCCAAAATCGAGGGCAAAATCTATTTACAACTAAATATTTGCTATAAATCGAGTTTCTTTCAAATTAAGTGATATTACAAAATGTTTATTGCTTTCTGATCCAGACGATTCGATTTCCCTTTCTATTGAATAAATTCCGTTTGAAAATCGCATTGAAATAAATCGATGCAAAAAAATAGTTAGATCGTATGTACTTGAATCGATCTTCACAAAAATCGAATCGTAAAGTGAGAATCCAAAGGCTCGCAAGGTGGGGTGGGTGCAGAGTTGCTTCTTTTCAGTGTAAAAGATTTTTTACATCGAAATTTATTATAAGTATGGAATTATACTAAATTTCGTATACGTCATTCCCACTCACGATTTTGGGCATAAATGGGTTAAAATCCAGCACTTTGGGGAAAACCCCAGGCGGGTTGTTTTAACCCACAGCCCATCTCTGCGGGTATAATTATGAATCTATAATTGTCCTGTCAAAAATCTCCTTATCTCACTTTTTCCAACCCTAATATTTCTACATAAGACTAATCCAAAAATGTGTTAACCATGCTTAAAGTCTGCAAAATTCTTTACATATTACAAAACTTAATTATTTATCTTTGCGAGGGCTGACACCAAAACGAAGAATAACAAAATCCGAAGACTTTAAGCAAGATTTTTCAAAGGATCTACGAGGATTTTTGCAAGGACACTTACGAGAAAATGTCCATATGTAACAGTAAAGAATTTTGCAGTATCGTGTGGACGGACAGGACGGGAGAGGACAGGCGCTAGTCACTGACGGTAGTTTCTATGTGTGAGACGTCACCGATAATACAGTGAAAATCACGAGGTTCCACATCTCTTAACATTCCATCTCTCTGGGAAAAGCCAAAGGAAACAACAGGAGTGTTAAGTTTTGATTAGAACCACACAATCTGAGGTGTTCCTCTTTGTACTTAGTTATTGAAGCAAGGGATAGCCCCGCAACGCTGAATTATACGCTTCAAAATCTAATTCCACTCTACGTCGATATAGGTGATGGAACGATTTAAAATATGTCAAGGGATGATATGATAGTCACTTAATAAACAATAATAGTTAATATAAAATAAAATAGTATAACTTAAAAAATATTGTAAGAATGAAATTCCTTTAAACTGTGGAATTCATTATCCAATAAAGATACAACAAGCGTTCTGTTTGTTGAGTCTAAGGCTCATTATCTACTAACACCAATATCTATTAACGCCACGTTCATGTCACGTACTTTTGATGACAAAATAATATATGGTGTATAATAAGCAATTACAAAGAACTCTTTTAGTATCTTTACATCTTTATTCGATAATAAAAATCGAACACAGAAAAAAATTCGTCGACACGGTGGGACTTGAACTCACGTCCATCCATGCTGCACTGTAGCATTGCTCTAACCATCTGAGGCACGGGTCCAGTTAGCGAGTCGTCGAAATTCTATGTATTTCTTGTTATAGATCTTTGTACTGTAAGACATTTCCGAAATACGTCTGAATACAAATTTCCATGTCCAGTAATTATTAGATTTATGATTTATAATAATTTGAATTCAAAACTACGTTTTTTCCTCCACGTGCACTATATAGAGCAACAAATATAATAACATTTACTCCGTAACAATATACCAAGCAAGTTAACAAAAGCATAACCAAAATACAGAGTAGTAGCTAGAAGTCGATTGAACGCGTCCAGCATGCACGTGCAAAGAACAACTGATAGAAATCCAACAGATGCCCGAAACACAAAGATTGTAGTTTTTTTTTAAGTGACGAGACGAACAAGTCGTGCGCCTGGTGGTAAAATAATTAGTTGTAAGTATTTGTACTATACTTGTTTATTAGTTGTATTGTATTATTATTACTTTTCATATTAGTGTCGATCATAATATCCCTTGAAATATGAAAAAAAAAAAGTTCTTTGCTTTCCCTTACTGAATACAGACCTATATTTTGCAGTCCACTAAAGAGTCGAAGAAAAGGATAGGTGTAACGGGTGACTATTCATAGGATGACAACATTCTGCTTAATTGACGAAGCAACAAAAAGTACCTACCTTCAGTTTGGAGATCATGTTCTTCTCGCTATCGTCGGAGACGGATTTGTTGAGCAGCAGCCGCTTGGCGAGGTGCTGTTTGTAGTAACGCTCGAAAACATCTTTCTCTTGCAAGAAACGGAACAGTACCATCGTCTTGTCTAACACGGCTTCTATTTCTTGCTCACTCATCTGTGAAAGGATTATCGCTATGATCGAGTTTAAGTTATGAACAAGTGGTCATTTAAAATTTTGGGTATAAAGTTTTTATACAGGGTTATTTGTAAAATACTAATAACAACGCAGGAGTGTATACTGTGGGGTAATTATTCGAAAAATTTCAAATAGTAGAAATTTTTCCAGGAAAATTTCTAAAAAATTGGAGTCGATTCTCTTCAGTTTTATTTAGCGTGAATTATAAAATAAAATTCTATATCTAAAAGCAAGTTAGAGTAAAACGATATTTAAAATGATTGGAATCTTCAACTTTTGACAGGTGTCAACAGTCAAACGTGGGAAAATATAGTAAACTTACTCGGAAAAATAGGAATTTTTCAAAATGGCCATTTTCCCATTACACAACACTTGGATTTTATTATTGACGTCATAAACAACAAGTTTTGATCCATGAATTTTTGCAAAACGTAATAAATTTACCAAAAATAAACTTTTAAGTTTTGATTGTACTATCTGGTATGTTTTAGATCTAAATTTGATAGTCAGGTAGTAAGTTTAAATGTGCAAGCGTATATCCCCACCCCCAACTTCTGCTTTTTCCATCAGACAGGGTACTTACGCTAGCCCTTTCTTTGTTACTCACGGAGTTATCCCCGTTTAGAGCTTATTTAAATACTTTTATTTTAGTATGAAAGTAAAATTTGATGAATTATTAAAAATCATAATTCGCTTTAGGCTCAACTCATACTGGCGCAGAGTCGAAGCGTCGCGACGCGTCTTGTTTTTCGCCTATAGTATATTCATCTTTGTTTTCCCATAATTAAGGTACAAATTTGTGTTATGCAAATATGGAAACGGGCGTCGAGGCGCGTCGAAGCTTGGATGCAGTCGAGCGGCGTCGCGCGTCGACGCGCGCGTCACTTGAGCGGAGTGAGGCAGACGCCGACCACACTGTGATCCGGGCGCATTAATGCGAGTGTCGTCCTGCGACGCCGCGCGTCGCAAAGCGTTGTAGGTGAAAAACAGGACGTGACGCGACGCTTCGACTGTGTGCCAGTGTGAGTTGAGCCTTAGATTTTATTCCAGCCTGTTTTCAGGATTTTGCATATACGATCGAATAAACTACATTTTATCGTGTGACAAATTATCTAATTTTTCAGACAATATCTTAGGAATAACGTAAATTTATTGTAAGACCGCTATTTAATAGTAAACACCTAAACCAATTGATCTAGCAAAACAGTTTTTACCGCTTCTCCTCCGGTGGCTCGCCATAAACACTTTTAACAGTTACAAACCAGGAATATTTTTATAAAGTCTGTTTGACATGGTATCAAATGTAGATTAACCAATCTTTAACATCGTTGTAGTAATACGCATTTGTACTTACACCCTTTTCGCCTTTCTTGAGTTTTCCATCAATGAAGAGTGAGAGGAATTCAGGCGACTTATTGTTGAGATTCAGGAAGTACTCAAAATCAGAGGCGATCATATGCTTGAAGATCTTATCGTTGTTGAATGAGTTGTGCAGGAAGTGATCAAATCTGTCTTTTAAATCCAATAGATTCTGAAAAATTTGAATACAATTAAACTTCCCTGCACAGGAATATATGAATAAAATCATATTGAGAGTACTCTTTAAAAATAAGTAAATTACATAAGTTATTATTGACACAAAGAAAAAATCTTCAATCTGATTGGCCTCGAACCAGCATCTGTTGCCACACCGGGGTCACCGCTCTTACCAATTATGGATTTCCCTGTGCTTGTTGCAGACGTTTGTGCTGGGCTTCAATGGCTTTTTTGCCATCAGCGCCACTTATGAGAAACTTTAACTTTCAAATAAATTATAAATTATTTAAATTTAACATATGTTGTACAAAATAGATATGACTAAACTGAGTTTTCATTTTAAGTGTTGAAAACGAATGACTGCTGTTGGTTATACATATTTATTTATAAGGAGTCAATAGGTTTAAGGGAAACACAAGGTAATATTTTACCTGCACGAACGCAATCGCGTTGGTGTTATGGTGCGTGTCAGTGACAAGTGCGCGACCCTGCTCGCGCAGATGTGCAGAGACTGCGTCGGCGACGGTGCGCAGTCCGTCAGGCACGCGCGACAGTAGCTTGTACACGCACGCCAGCTCCGAAGTGCGCGTGTGCAACAGCATGTGCACCACGCCACTGTTCTCCATCTGAGCCGCAATATCGAATATGCACACCACACCGATTGTCATTACGACCTCATACTGACAATCGGAACAGGCGGGTCAAGATAAATGGTTTCGTCGCGATAATGGTACCTATGAAGGTATAGGTATGCCAAAAACATATACAGTTCAATTAATAATTTGAATACAAAGATGTAAATAGAATCTATATATTAAAATCTTTTAAGTTTTATATAATTTTATGTATGTAAGATACAGGTTCGGGTCGTCAATGGCTAGCTACCCTGTTTCACAATTATATACCATCTTTTCTTATTTGAAGATTTGTATTTTATAGTTACATAATTTGTGGTAACAAAGAAATTAATATGCAATTGCTGCGATTCTGTATAATCCTTACGCCTAGACATTTTTAATATCTGACAAGTTACCTCGATAATAGTCTTTACACAATTCTTTGTGCGATTAGTTTTGCCTGTCTAGATTATATGGTAAGATGCAGTGATAATTACCTCAACGATGGTCTTCATGTGGCGTTCAATGAGTTCGTGCTCGAGCACGGCGACAACGCGAGGTTCAGTGGTCTCGTCAAGATAATGCCGCGCACGCTCAGCCTCCTCACTGATGCGGGCCTCCACACGCGCAATGTATACCGCTGCGCTGTTCTCTGCTAAGAACTTCTGAGATTCCATCTATTCAAAAATAATAATAAAAATATAAAACAGCAAACTCTATAATCTCAGTACAGAGTACTAGAAAAACCGACCTCAAAAATTCGTGGAATAACACCTATTTGCTAAGTTTTATTGAAATCAGTTACCGGAAGGTGAGCGAAAACGATTCATCACTTAGTGTCCCACCCATAGAGGTGGAATATTTTCTTCAAATTCAAATGGGATCAATACTGAAGACGTACCCTCTATCCAACAAATAAAGTATCATCCAAATCGGTTCACATAAAAGTTATCGCAAAACATACAATACAAAAAAACAGACGAATTGAGAACCTCCTCTTTTTTTGAAGTCGATTAAAAAGGCAATAAAGTCACCATCTGTCTACGTCGAAACGAAGCGAGTTTAAGCTCGGTGGGTCGTTATTTGAGAGAGACGAAAAGAGTTGATGATATTTAATAAACAGCTTTAGCAGATGTTCATCAATCATAGCTAAGAACCATCCGGATTAAACCAGCTTTTTAATTAAAAAAAATTGTTATAAAACAAAAGAAAGGAATTTTGTGGAAAAAAGGAACAAAAACAAAATAACAACAGAACAGGTCCAAAAATTAAGTTGTAGTTGATTGGAGTTATCCGAGATAATATACACAGACTAAGGCTTCAAGCTTAAGCTCTCCTCTTTTTGGTAGGGGTTAAAAATAAATAAAAGAAACCAAACATTATTTGCCATCGTTTTCATAGTTACCTTTAACTAAGCTAACTATGTAAAAAGTGTACTCACTCTATAGAACTCAGCGGACTGATGCAGGAATGGTTTTTCAAAGTCTTCCTCGTAGACGACGCGAGAGTTAATGCCAAGAACCATGAGCATTTGGCAGGCGTTGCGGATGGCCAACCGGTCAACCACCTCGCCACGTCGCTCGCGCGCAACGAGTTCCAGCAGTGTCTGTCGCAAGTGGTCGCGGATGCAACCGTAGCGAACCACCTGATGATGAGCACAAATATTCCTTTAAATATTTCTCACATAATTACTACGACAGACAAGTGAGATATAAATGGTGCAACAAAGATATATTAAAAATACTTTTAAAAAATTGAATTGTTATTGAGTTGTTAGCATTTGTTTTTGAACAGAGCAACTGAACATTTAATGCAAAGTCTTGTTTACATTTGACATGATTTCTCCAACATAGAAAGAATTTCTTCTTAAAGTTGAAAGTAAACTTCAAGTTAAAGAAGACTTATGCATATAAAGATCATTGCTTGTCGCTGTCACAATTATTGTCACTTTCGTTCATAATTATCTCAACATTAACAAATCATGGCAAGTGTAAACAAGACTTATAATAAAATATCAAAATGTAAGTTGTGTTATGTTCAAAGAGAAATGTTAATAATGCCTTATTATATATTTTTAAAAAATTACTACTTATTTTAAAGTCTTATGAATTAAATTTATATTATTTTATACCGTATATTTAGACGGGTATAAATTTTCAAGTGTTCGAGACTAAACAATTTGCGAGTCCAAAACGTGCATTCTTTAAATATTGCATTTGAAAATTTATCAGTAAGCAATATGTAATATTATAAAACAAATATATTTATATACCTGATCTCTAAATATAATTAGTCCAAGATTGTAAACATTATCAACTTCATTCTGTTGTACATATACCCTGTCCATATACATAAGTATGTCACGGATCATAACCATGCTGGTCTGATGGTCAGTCCAAGCATTGTTCAGAGTTTGCAGGAATCCATTGTGTAGTGAATGCAGGACATCTTCTCTGACCTATAAACAATGAGCCGTATTGTATCAACTCACATACATCTCACTGCTGGTAATGGACTTCCATTAAGAAGAGAGCTTACACCATATTCCATCCTACTGGCCGAGACAGTTTTGAGAAATAAAAAGGCATAGTAAGAGCTTGGGTCTAATTTCAGAATGAACAACATCTAAAGTTTTCTCAAACTATATGATTTTAATTATGTAAAAATCATATTGTGATGTTATAAAACTGCGTAAACTTCTGCTATAAAGTTTTGTAAAATTTTTCTACTCATATTTTTATCTTACAAAATGTAATTCTTTTTAAACAATCACTTATGCCAATTAAAGCTTTCTCATAACGAACATGAAAAATAACACTACAATAACACAAACTAACAGGCCTACTAGAACATAACAACCTATCACTATATAGTGAAGAAGTTATTAGGTAGTCATAACAGTTTTTGTATTCATAATGCCATTGCAGAAAAGGTAGATGCAATAATAATTGTAATCATATTATTATTTTATACATATGAATGCTAATGATTTTGGTAGATTACAATTACTTGTAAAATTAGTATGATTAAATGGATTATGGAGCATATTACGCTCATTAAATATCCTAACTGAAATTTTGAGTACAATATTATTGAGGTCTGGGCAATCAATCCAACTTTATGCAATATTCAGCAAAAACATACTTAAATGTTGGGCAATCTTATCTTACATTCAGTCAGCTTTACATGTATTTATGGCTTCTGCTTCAGTAGCTAATAGTTTACATACTATTGAATAACAAACTTGAATGAATAGAAACCTGGCTCCTGCTAAGAATATTAAATTTGTAGGTTGATAATTTTCATATTATAATTTTTTCGATAATGATATGATTTCCAATAAATATGTTTTTAATCATAAATAATCAATTCAGTGTAGAATTATCTCAGTACCTTTGTTTCAAGATGATGTGTAACAACTTCCTTCAATCCAGTGTAAAGTCTTTCACCATGTTTGTGAAGGACCATAGTGTATGCATTGCGATACAGTTCTTCAAATGAAAGACCAGAGTTGTTTTTCTTCTGTATTTCCTGAATTGCATTCTTGAGCAAGCTCCATATGCTCTCTACATACTTCTCATCCATAGTCATCTATAACAAGTATAATAATACTACATTCACGTTTTATTATAGACCAACTAAGTAGTAGCATTTTCAAATATGCAACATCATTTGTTTATAGGCGTATACAGTACAGACCCATGTGTCCGGATACATTTGATAATATGGTTCAGAATAGTTCCACACTTGAAATTTTCTGGTCATCCTGACTATTCAACTGTTTTGATAGTTAAAGAAACATTTTCTAAAATGAAAACAGCAGTAGCAAAACATGAAATAACAGCAGTACAAAAATTCTAATAATGTTTAGCTTTTGATTGATTTTCCCTCTTGTCAAAATATAATTATGACATATTGAATACTAAAATTTTGTTCCAAACTGAAATAAATATATTTCTATTTTTAAATTATGTGTCAAATTAAAAGTAAACACAGAATTGCCAAGTGAAATATTCACAGTGTAGCAGTGGAAAATAGGTTGAATTGCATATAGTAAAAAGTTAATTATTGTAATTTATTTTGACCAACTAGACAATATATAATATATATAATAATAATAATATTGAAATACTTGAGTATTGAAAACTGCTGATTCATTTGATATGTAACAATTAATAGTTTTGCATAATGAAACATAGTTGATTTTTTATAGAAACTGTGTACTATGATAGATCTATATTTCATATTCTTCATAATTTCAATTATTTTTTAGTATTACAAACAATCATGCAACTTATAAGTGCTTGTAATAATGTATTTTGTTATAAATAAAATTTAAAGTAAAATACCCATGAAATGTAAATAACTCTCTAAATGATACCGTCTAAAGTCTAAATAACTCTAGGAATATTTATGAAAGCTATCATTGAATAGAAATAAAATGATCCAAATAATTTTGGATCTTAATAAGCATATTTATTATCAAAAAATATTAAAACAATTATTGAAACACAACAATCAGGACTTCTTCTGTTAAAAGAATCATACACTTTTGCATATAAATAAATTACTGTGTGAATAGGTACTGGGAACATGCAATAATGGCTGCATTAATTAGAAAGGATTACAAAAAATTGTAACAAATATTTACACAGATAAAGAATGTTTGACTTACAGGAAAGGCTCTGATCCTCATCTTGCCTGGTTTGTCCTTTGGCAATGTACTCTTCATCATTGCTGCAGATTGCAAACTCTTAAACAATTTTATGATTAGTTTTTACTATTCATTTGCAGTCATATAAATACTTCATTGTTACTCTCCCACTACCTAAAACAGAAATTAAAAGGATCAATGAACACAAAATAATCAAAAATCCAATGTGAAACCGAGACATAAATGAGGTATTACACAAATTGCATACTCGTAATGCGAAATAACACATGATAAGGTAGGTATATTTTGTTAAAATTAAAATGAAAACAACTAAATATACGGCTTTCCGACTGCAAAATGATATTTTTTATAAAAAAATAACGAGGAGATTACAAGCAATGACAGGTGAAAATAATGCGTCGTCTCTTTCCCACGCGTAGTAAAGCCCATAAACATCAGCGCCACTTCACGATTTGACATCACATTTTTTGATGAGTTATATTTCTTCAAAAGACAAAATCCTATTTACCTATATAATACACTGAATAAAAATGTACTCACACGTCACGAAATTATTTATCGCAAAATTAATTAGTAAATAGTCACTGGTAAATCGTGTACACTGCATGTATTTCTTCGTTTTCGCTTCGCAAACTTTCCTTCATTTGTTTCAATTTCTTTCTTCCGACATGACACCAGTGATTAGAGATGTGTTTGCAAGAATGAATGATTTGTAAAAGAATTATTCATCGAGTTTGTAATGGTTACACAATTTTTTTACTATTTTTATTTGTATAAAAAGATGCGATAAAATTAAGTTGTGTTTTTTCTGTTCCAACCACAAAAATAAATAATATTTTGTAAGTGTGGTGTAAATGTTCGACTATTTAATCGATTCAATTGACCGAATTTTCTGGGCGTAACACTAATACAGTGTTACCATTTTCTTAAGTTAAAATACTATCACGATAAAAAAATTCATTATTGTGCAAAAAATACACATAGAACACGAAAAGTAATCAGCCATTTCCTATTTTTCAATCTAGTACTATGATTGTATAGTAAGTTCAGTCGCAGGAATGTATGTTTCTATGACATACTAGTAAACAAGTCCAGCAGTGTTCACAGTTATTGCTTTTTGTTAAAATCATTTTTTACTAATGAGTTCCTGCCGATATAGGTGGTGTCAAATTATAGTCAAATTAATACATGTGTAAAGACACTTCAGTCATTAGTGAGGCGCATATGCCTAAGATATGCGCATGAGACTATTTTTTTTCATCCTCTATGAACCTGCTCGACGCTAAAGCTTCAAAAATAAAAAAGCGCGATACTACCGCGTGAAGCCAAGAAAAATAAGAAAAAAAATTTTTGGCTGGACTTGCGCCGTGTTGACGGTTAAAAACGCGCAAGCGCGGATTACGCGCGCCATTACAAACAACGTAAGTAAATTTATATAATATACTTTTGTAAGTCAATGAATATACTAATATTTAATACAAATGCCATCTAAAATAATCGAGATAGGTATGGATATGGAATAATAATGATTACCCGAACCCGAAAAGTTTTCTATAGCTTTCTTGAAATGAAGAGCAATAATTATAAATACTCGATGACTTTTTTACATATACAGCGTGTAAATTTGAGACGTGGCAGCAAGGCCAGCCACCTTAATCGTTGTAGTTACAGGAAAACGGTTCTAGAAGACTATCCATGAAATTTAAAGATATTTTGATTGGCATTCACAGATTTTGAAAAAATGGTACAGTTAGCGAGATAAAAGGAAATTTTTACTAAGTTTAGTATATATTTTTTATGCCTTTCGATCCGGTCTCTGTTAAGCATCAATAGTCTATAAGGGACCAACTGAGGTAAGAGTACTCAAAATGTCAGAAATCGCAAAAAACTTTTTACCATACATTTTGTAGTAATTACAACGATTAAGGTGGCTAACATTGCTGCCCCGTCTCAAATTTACACCTGTATACGATCATTGCAAATACTACGTATTTTAGTTGCAGTAGAGCTCCTTGTGAAAGAGTTCATCCATGGCAGTTTTGTCATCTTACCTATTTCTGCCATGCCGCCAAGCAGTAGTCAGCATTACTGTGTTTCAATTTTGAAGGGTAAGCGTCCAGTTAGGGCGCATTTATTCGACACGAATTTCATCCGCCCTGTTACCACGGTCTTCATGTGCATTAATGGCGAATCTGAATTCTATTTACTAGGCAACAACATTTATATTCCTCTGAATAATACAACCGCGCGGTAGCCGCGCGGCCACCGCGTAGACCAAATTCTTGTTAAAATGTCAAAACTAAATAAATAGAGCGTATTTTGCCATGACAGTTAGATGCACGCGGTCGATACACGGCGGCAACGCGGACTCCGCTCGGCGACCGCGCGGCAGCCGCGCGATGAAATTCGTGTCGAGTAAATGCGCCCTAGGGGTGCTGGTGAACTTCAGGCACGTGGGATTTGTCAAGTTATGTGTCAGGGTGACGGGCGCAGTGGCAGTGTACCTCAGATCTTGTGATTTAAGCACTCAGTAGCAATGCAACTGTTATGGACAGGCACGTCGCTTATCACCAGGCGGATGACTTGTTCCTCCCGCCACGTGATATCAGTTACATTTTAGAGTGACTGATTTAGAGTGACTGATTTATATTAATGATCTGCCATTCTTTGTTAAGGACCATTGCGAAATAGTGTTGTTTGCTGATGACACATCCTTGATTTTTAAAACAGACAGACATGACAATAACTATGACCGTATTAATGATACCCTCTCTAAGGTAGTTTATTGGTTTAATGCTAACAATTTATTGCTTAATGCCAAGAAGACAAAATGTGTTAAATTTGAATTACCTAACGTAAAATCGACTAGTCCAACCATAGAAATAAACGGAGAAAAGTTAGACCTTGTTAATAAAGCAGTCTTCTTGGGAGTGACCTTAGATAGTAAACTTCAGTGGTTTCCACATATATCGTCCCTGGCCAGCAGATTAAGCTCCGCTGCATACGCAGTCCGCAGAATACGTGAGCTTACCGATGTTAGTACTGCTAGACTAGTTTACTTTAGTTACTTCCATAGTATAATGTCCTACGGGATTCTCATGTGGGGTAAAGCGGCAGATATTCAAACCATATTTGTATTGCAAAAACGAGCGATTCGTTCTGTGTACCGTCTAGGCTCTCGGGTATCTCTCAGAGAAAAGTTTAAGGAGACTGGTATCATGACTGTGGCATCACAGTACATTTACTCAAATATTTTATATGCCCGTAAAAATATACATAATTTCAATAAGAAAGAAGATATCCATAATATTAACCTTAGAGCTAAGTCCAAACTCATGGTACCACGATTTCGTTTAACCAAGGTAAACAACTCTTTTATGGGGAACTGTATACGTTTTTACAATAAGATTCCGGAGCATATATTAAGTTTATCATTTCCTAAGTTTAGAAACTACATTAAAAATATTTTGATCGAAAAATCATATTACAAAATTGAAGACTACGTGTTAGATAAAGATGTATGGAAAGACGACATGGCTCCAGAATCCACACAAATTTGATTCAAAGTATATTCCATAGCATTTAAGTTTATTTGAAAAGAGCAATCCCTAGAGTTTCTTGCTCGTTCTTCTCAGGGAGGTCAGCGTAGTGAACGAGCAGTAGGTTAAATGTGACGTTTTCAAGTGTAAATTTATTTTACCTATGGAATAAATAATCTTTGACTTTGACTTTGACTTTGAGTTAAATTTTTTCAAACTTTTTAAAAGCCATTTTGACTTACGAACTGTGCGGGTTTACTACCAAACTCACGATTTATGTTCCATCACTCGATTTATAGCTTTAATGGCATAAAATAAGGAGTATAAAATTATACAACTCTGAATTTACAAAACAATATATTTCTGCAACGTTAATGTCAGCTTACTATAACTACCTAATATAAATACTTAAGTAAGTATGTACGTCAATACTTTTTATATTATTTAGCTTCTGTGATTAGGACTTTACTTTTTGGATTCAAATAAAAAATTGTACCTTGTAGTACCTACTAATA